TGTACTTAAAAGCCATTTCTGACACAGGCACTGGCTCCGTTTCTGCTTCAGAGCCCGAACTTTCTTCCTGGTCTCCCTCTGTTTCCTCAACGAGCTTTTTCTGTTGCCTGGTAGCCATATCCCAATAACTTTTACCTCACAACTTATTCTCAAAATAGTCTTAAGGCACTTGATCAGTTGTTAAACGGATCCCGTCGTCTGCCACCAATTTGCGAAGGGCTTGCCCCAATTCAAAGAAAAGGGTTTCAGGAGAGAGAAGTTACGATTTATTATTTATTATTCTTAATGGTGCCACCAATTTGTGATGTGAGGTAATTTTGGGAGATTGGGCACACTGAACGCAGAATTAATGGAGATGAGGCAGTCTTAAAATCAAAGAGAAAAAGTTTATTTTGAAACAAAGCGTATGGTTGCAGTTTGGTGATAAACTTGGAAAATACTTGGAGAACGTTACATATAACTTGGTTGCGATACAGTACAGACTTCTGATGTTACAACTTATAAATAACTTTTGCTGTGGTGAAGCACTTTATTAAACAATGTTTCCTGAGGTGAATAGTCTTCCTGTTTGATCCTTCCGTGATCAAACCTCAGATCTCTAGTTCACTTTTAACTAGTGATCTAAACAAGCTTCTATTAGTCTTCTCTAACTAATGAAACTAATAAGGTTTCCCCTTCAGCCTTCCCAAACTGAAGAAACCTCTGACTATTCACAAACACTGCTTCTCTACTTCCCACTCTCTCTCTCTACATGACTGTTCACTCCTCCTAACCCAACTCTTCTCTCCTCTGAGCCTAAAACCTGACTGACTTTAACTGTCGCTTTTCAAAACTCTCCTCTCTAAGCTCCTCCCACTTCTCTACAGCATCGTTTCCATGGTAACACACTCCTCACAGCTAGGCCGCTCCAGCATTAGGGCAACCAGTGCAAACACCAATACAGTTATAATCTTATCATTTACAATCAACTTCTGTACATACTCCCTCAATTTATTCCATGTTGTTTCCTTCCACACTTTCCACTCTGGTAAAACCTGACATTTTTAATATAGTATGATGGCATAAATCAGAAATGGAAGAGAAGGGAGCAGGCCTGGCTTTGATATACATTATTTCTATCTCCACAGAGAAATGATATGAAATCCATTTTTCTCTACATTTTGATCTGCATTTCCCCCCGATAAGTATTTCTGTATATTTTCTTCTGAGTAAAAATATAAATGTCATAATAATATTCAGGGATCAATATAGGAATGTTAGGTGATCAAAAACATACCACTGAAGATTATTTCAGTGATTTTTTTCAACTGTCTTGTACATGATTTTCCCCAAACTAAAGGCGGAGTGTTGAGGCTAAGAAATAATGATGTAGCTTACTGAGACTCATTAAACTGGAGGTTTCCCAACTCATAACTCAAACTCTTAACTACTTTGTGATATGAAATATTGTTTTTTATTCAATAAAACACAAAGGATTTGGAAAAAAATTCTGAGACAATTTTCAAGCTGCTTTGAGTCCCCTTTGCGGAGATAAAGCAGGGTATTAACCCAAAGCAGAGCTGGATGATCTGGACAGAAAAACAAGAAAACTGATGACAATCCACTACTCATTACACCCGCGTAGTGATGTTGACAGACTTTACTTGCCCAGAAAATCAGGAAGCAGAGGGCTTCTGCAAGTGAAACAAATGGTAGAAGAAGGGAAACATGCACTGGCAGATTATGTGAAAGGCAATCAGGAACCAACATTGAGGGAAGTCAATAGTAGTAAACTTCTTAAAGTGGAAATGACAAAGAGTGGATACTGTAAAAATACAATGCTGAGCAGAAGAGTAAACTGGCAAAAGAAGGCTCTCCATGGCCAGTTCCTGGTAAAAATTGAGAGCAAAATTGACAAGAAAAAAACATGGATGTGGCTCACAAATGGAACTCTGAAAAAGGAGACGGGGGGGGGGGGAGGGGCTGACTCTTGCAGCCCAAGAACAAGCCATTGCATTAAATGCCATCAAAGCCAGAATTGAAAAGTCAGTGACAGACCCCAAGTGTAGACTCTGCAAGGAAGCAGACAAAACAATGGATCACATCCTCAGCTGCTGCAAGAAGATTGCACTGACAAACTACAAGCAGAGGCATAATACCATTGCTCAGATGATTCATTGGAACCTATGCCACAAATACCATCTGCCTGTGACAAAGAACTGGAGGGATCACAAGTCTGAAAAGGTTACAGAAAATGAACACATCAAACTTCTCTGCAACTTCCGAATTCAGACTGACAGAGTTTTGAAGCACAATACTCCTGATCTCACCATCATGTTAAAAAACCAAATATGGATTGTCGATGTTGCAAGCCCAAGCGACAGCAAGATTGAAGAGAAACAATTGGGAAAGCTAACACGATGCAAGGATTAAAGATTGAACTGCAAAGACTCTGGCACAAACCAGTAAAGGTGGTCCCAGTGGTGATCAGCACATTGGGTGCAGTGCCTAAAGACCTTGGCCTGCACTTAAAAACAATAGGTGCTGACAAGATTACCAAACTGCCAGCTGCAAAAGGCCACCATACTTGGATCTGCATGCATTATTCGCCGATACATCACACAGCCCTAGACACTTCGGAAGTGTCTGACGTGTTATCCAATAGAACAGCCAGCAGAGTGTCTGCTGTGGACTCATCCTGTTGTGTTTCAAATAGCAAAACAACAACAACAACAACAACAACAAACTAAATAGAAGCTTCAAAAAAGAGAAAACATTGCTATATGCCCTCCATGCCCATACAAATCCTATTGCCAGATGACATCTTTTTTATTTACATAAGTGATACTTACTATCTTTAGTTATTTTTTCAATATTTGCCTTGATTATATATGTCTGCAGTGCCTGCTCTTGTGTTACAAATATAAATCCTTCACTTTCTTTAGTTCAGTTTCCCACTCAGTAACCTCCTCCTCAACTGCTCCTTCTATGTTTGTATTTTTAATATACTGACCATATAATGAGATTTTTTTTATAAAGGCGGGGGGGGGGGGGGGGCAGCATGCTTCAAGATGATTTTTCATAATTTTCTTTCTAAAATTTTCTTTTGTTGTTGAATATTTTTATATACTTATTGATTAATGTGTTTTCTTTGCATTCTTGATGTACGCACTCAAGACTTTTTGTATCCTTCAGAGGTTTGTTTCACTTGTGATAACCCCAATGCTTCAATATTACATGGTAGACAGAGCTAATCAATATGGCTTTGAGGTGTAGAATACAGTTTGCTGTCATAATTTATAGAGTTTTCCTGCCTAGTTCTGCTTGGATCTCATCAGTGATTTCAGCATTAGATCAGATAACTGGCACTGCGTAGAAATTTATGACCTGAATTACATTACTACCATTACGTTTCGATCCTGAAACGTTCAGTATTCTTTTTATATACTCAGCAGTAATCTCTTTCACTCCTTTATGTTTAATATATTTAGTTTCTAATAATAATTTTTAATTTCAGTCATGATTAATACTTTTAATAATATATCATGAAGGAATTTTCTTCTTCCTGATGAAAATTTTGCTTCAGTTTATAAACATTGTATGCATTTTATAAGTGGTTTGAATATTTTAATTAATTATTTAATAACGGTCAACTCCCAAAATTATGTACCTTTTGATGACCTGCCATGGCAGTACTTTTTCATGGCAGTGGGACTGGGAGCTCCCATAAGGCAATAAAGTATGGTTATGGTAGTAACATTGCTATTGGTTTATTTATTTATTTTGTGTCAAAAGCATTGCATAAATAAATTAGTATAAAACTGATAAAATAGATGGAACACAAGCAGCTAAATAATTTTAGACCAAAAACAGGCAACAATGTCCACATTGTCTATAGCTTTAAACAGTTCTTCCTCTATGCATGAGGCAGGGCATTGTGGGCAAACATACAGATGCTAAGTTGTTTGTTCTGCTTATTGGTGGAGGAAGATTGCTATTAGTAAGATCTCCAAGTCAGATTGCTGCTGAACAGCCAAACTAAGTTTCCCCAAACCAATATGCTACAAAACTTTCAAATTTCAAAGTAGACTGGTCCTCCCCTGGGTCAAGAAGAACCTTATCAGATGTTGGCTACCCTGGACATAGATATAAAGTGGGCAACAGGGCCGCATCATTCATTAGATAACCAGTGTAAGATACTGTTAAGCTACTAGAAGGTCACCGACAGCAGAAGAAAATGATATCTACAGAAAATAAACACTATTACCAGATCAATCCACCAAAAAGAATTTATGCTATCTGTAATGTTTCTAGATGTAACAGAACAGTGATTATGTGATCAAAAATGACATAAGATTCATAATAAAGTTGTTATTGTTGTTAATGCCTAAATTACCTATATGGCCTGGAAAAGCCCAAGATACTGTTTCCAACATGTGTGGTATTTCTAGAAATGTGCAGTATTTCTACTCCAGTTTCTTTTTCTCTCCTGGTAACTATGTGTCGACATGCATATGCATGCACACATATCCAGATGTGAAGACATGTAGAAAAAGAAACAGACAGAGAAAGGGAGAGAGAGCTCTTATTAAAACATGTAGTTTAAGCCATTATATAAGCAAATAAATAAATACATAAATAGACACCTTACTTTACTTAGGCGATCCCTTGTAGCCTGAGGATGATGGTCCTCCAAGTGTAGTGTCTTGGCTGTAGGTCCGTAGATGGCTGTGGAGCCCTATTCTTGATCCGCATGTTCTCCTGCAGTGAGGGCGTCTGTTTCCAGGTGAAAGGCGGTCCTAGTCAGGGTTGGCTTGATGCACCTTCCTCTTGGCACATTTCTCCCTTTCACCTTCCATTCATGCCTCTTTGAATTCTGCAGCACTGCTGGTTACAGCTGACCTCCAGTTAGAGTGCTCAAGGGCCAAGGCTTCTGTCCTCCTCTGTTCTGCTTTAGTTTCTTGGTATGTAGCCTTCATTGTGACCTTTTATTTACCACTGTTCTTCTCTTTTTCTTGCAGCTCCTAGATTGTTTTGTCATTCCTGTTGTGATATTACTTTCTTGGTTCTTCCTGCTGGTACGGTACAAGGCGGTACACTTCATCGGCATTGTGGTCTGCATTCTGGGCATGGGCTGTATGGCAGGAGCCGATGTCCTAGTTGGAAGACAACAAGGAGCAGGTAAGTGTTTGCATAATATATTCAATTTAGGAGGAAATGTATTTAATTATTCTCCAGTGATTACAAATGCACAACCAAATTCCCTATCTGAAAGTAAAGGATTGGGGGAAAGTACTGTACAATCTTATATCTGCTGAATTGTTTATCCACTTCTGATAAAATAGGTTTTAGGCATTTTATAGGTTTTGCACTGTGACTATGATATTCTTGGACAGTACGTCCTTCATTTCAATTGGCTTCTATATTATCCCCTCTCCTGAATTTAGACCCTGAAAACATGTTTCAGATGGTTGAGAAAGCTTCTGGAATGGGATTTTGGAAGGTATATAATGGAGAAGGAAGGAGATAAGATTCAGTTGTGATTAGGCTACAGTTTCAGCATGATGTTGGGTCTAGGCCAATAAGCATGCAATTTCATTTACGCCAGACTGGGCATCCTCCAGAGCCTAGAAAGCTGTGTTGCACTATTTCAGTTTCCTCTGGAGCTCATGACTCTCTGCAGCCATCATTTTGAGTGACTAAAATGACATCACTTTAACTTGTGGTTGCTGCTTTGAGATATTGCTGGTGGTGCTGTTTTGGGGTGCCACCCTTGACATTGCATTACTTGTTCTTGGTCTTTGAGATTTTTGAGCTAATATTTTAAGAGGATTGCTGGGAGCTCTGGACAAATGATGGGGGGGGGGGTCCCAAAGGCCACAATTGGAACCCCTTCAGAGGACCAAATATGGTCCACAAGGCATGTGACTCCTACTTTTGATTTGGTATTGTGAGAGTGCATGTGTAAACTTTCCTTCAGAAAGAACAAGTGGATCAACACTTAGATGGCACTAATAATTCTCTGAACTATTAAGGCTAAATTTCTGATTTAAAAAATCATGATGTGCTTTTATATTTATATCGTCCTTTTACCCCTAGGTGAAAATAAACTCATAGGTGATCTTCTAGTGTTAGGGGGAGCTACTCTCTATGGCATCTCCAATGTTTGCGAAGAGTACATCGTACGAAACCTGAGTCGGGTGGAGTTCCTAGGCATGATTGGTCTGTTCGGATCCTTTTTCAGTGGAATTCAGCTGTAAGTAACCAAAAACCGATTGCATGCCATTATTGCAGCACAATCACCAGATTGCATGCTCACCTCTTCTCACTATTTCATTAGAAATCCCCAAATAGAAATTCTTTCTGTATGAGCTTGAATGGCCTCTAGAAGACATCTAGTGTTTCACACACACACACACCCCCGCCCCATTGTTTCATCTCATTGTTTCACTCCAAAATATATGATGACAGGGAAACCGTTCCTCTTTCGGTTTTGTAGCTGTCAGAGAATTATTGAATAAATTATCATCCAGTTTGAGAACCAAACAAGGTGTTATTTCTTTCCATGTTTACCCAACTGGAAGCTGGTGGCTTCCATGGGGTGGGTCCACTATAAAATTATTTCAGCACTTTGGATAACTCCTTAAAATTTGAACTAAATTCACATCCCTACTGTTATGGGAACCACTAGCCAGTACTGAGTATAATGTATTGTCAAAGGCTTTCATGACCAGAATCACTGGGTTGTTGTAGGTTTTTCATGCTGTATGGCCATGGTCCAGAAGCATTCTCTCCTGATGTTTCAACTCTGGTCTGTTGGGAGGTAGTTGTGACTGTTTCAATTGGCCAATTGATACATTGATACATTCACACCCAACTCCGCCCACCCTGGACATTCCACAGATATATAACCCCATTTTCCTAGTTTCCAACAGACCTCACAACCTCTAAGGATGCCTGCCACAGATGCAGGTGAAACACCAGGAGAGAATGCTTCTGGAACATGGCCATATAGCCCAAAAAACCTACAACGGCCCAGTACTGAATATATTTTCAGCAAACTGCAATGTAGCATCATCCATCTTGGACTGTACTATTTATGACTCCAGGAAGAACATAGAATTGAAAGCTCCTTTATGTTAAAGAAAAACTCCATCAGGGAACACAGTGTACCAGGGAGACAACTAGGTTATGGTGTTTAGATCCTTTTATTCTGCACAAATATACCATTGTGATTCCACTTTAATTGCCATGGCTGCATCCTCTGAAATCAGGGGATTTGTAGTTTGATCAGAGGTACTTAAGTAGCACTCTGGTTGAAATTTCAAGCTACTCTTCCCTAACCTGCAAGTCCCAGAACACTTTCCCACAACACAATTATAGCATGATGGTACTACTTCAACTGACATGGTTCATCCTGTGGAATCCTGGCGTTTCGAAGTTTTATGGGCAATTTAAATGTTTCAGCCAGAGTGCTCTAGGGCCTCCCATCCAATTTTTAATTGTTTCCTTAACAATCTGCGCCCTGTAATAACTGAGCATGTTCAGTCATCGCTGGGTTATTTCCCCATTAAAGTTATTTTCTTCTTAATGATTTGTTTTGTAATTTCTCCAAAACACAAACTCCCACGGCTTTCTTATACCTTCCTTTTGAGTTTGCATCAAATGGCACAGTTTTCGCGGCATAAACATTGGCACTCACAGCGTGAACATTGGAACATTAGACATTTTTATTTTGTTTTATTTATAGCGAGTGATTCAAGCCAGTGATGAGGCTACTGCCAGTATGCATGATTTTTTAAATGTTGAATTTTTACAGTATCTTAGACAGTGAACAGGTATCAGAATAGAATGTGGTGAGAAATAATTTGACTAGGTCTTCTAAGGTAATCAAAATAGAGATATAGTGAATATATAATTTTAATTATTCAATTATTTGAAAGTAACAATGCATTTTAAAAAGAGGCCCTTAATTTATTGTCATCATTCCTGCCCTAATACCAGAATTTCAGAAAGTTACTTTTTTGGATCCCAGGACTCTGAATCATTAAAGTCATGGCTATTGGCTGTGTTAACAAAGGGAATTCTAGAAACTGTAACCCAAGAGAAGTACCTTTCCAAGGCTGTGCTTGAAAATGACATGTATGGGCACTGGTTGAGCTGCTGGGGCCTGAGTTTCCCCTGTTCTCAGTTGGCAGTTGGCTTCAGAATCAACATATAATTACACCTTGGAAAGTTTGACTGATAAGAGAATTTATAATTAAAGTTGTCACTGGATGATTTTGCTAAATTAGTTGCTGTTCCGATTCTTGTCTCTTCCAGGAGGGATTAGAATCAAATTGAATCTATTCAGGGCGCCGTCCTGAGACAATTCTACATGGTAATGACAGATTGGAAAACAAACATTTTTTGAAATAAAATATTGCAAAGACTAGAAAAAATCAGAAAGATTAACTATATTGGTAATCCAGAGGATTGCATTGCCTTTACCTTAATCTTTCCTCTTCTTTTGGTAGCTTTATCCTTAACATCAGGAGAAAATTATAATTCACTTGTTACTTGCATATTGCTAATCTAATGCTTTGCACAAAATGATGAGATTATCCATATATATATATATATATATATATATATATATATATATATATATATATATGAGGTGTCATAGCTGCTTGCCTCTTTTATCCTACTATCTGTACGAAAACAAAATTGATTTTCCCTGCTGAGCAAAATTAGCCCAAAGAGGGTAAATTTCAGATCTTTCACAATACAGCTGTCCTGAGTGAATATGTGGAGGCCATGGCCAAAGATGAATCCCCAGTGGCGAAGTGAGTTAAACCACTGAGCTGCTGAACTTGCTAACTGAAAGGTTGCAGGTTCAAATCTGGGAAGTGGCATGAGCTCCTGCTGTTAGCCCCAGCTTCTGCCAACCTAGCAGTTCAAAAACATACAAATGTGAGTAGATCAATAGGTACAGCCCCAGTGGGAAGGTAATGGCGCTCCATGCAGTCATGCCAGTCGCATGACCTTGGAGGTGTCTACAGACAACACCGGCTCTTCAGCTTAGAAATGGAGATGAGCAGCAACCCCCAGAGTCGGACACGACTGGACTTAATGTTGATCTTACCTTTGCTATGGCCAAAGATCCCACCCACAATATCTCATTGGCTGTGGTGGCCCTTGACTTCAATGCATTTAGTGAGAAACTAAACCATGACAACCACTTCCAGTTATATGAAATTATAGAATTAGGAGAAATTATATATTTGGATCGCAACCTCCAGAATCTTCTGGCTAGCATGTCCATGGATTTTGCAGTTATGAATCTCCTGACCCCAATGACCGAGAAGGACTTATAAGACATTTCCTGGGACCTAAAATTCCAGAAGGCTACAAGTTCCTCATCCATCCCTATTACAAGAAATCAATAGGAATTACTTTTGAGGAACATACAGAATCAAAATTTGATGCACACCAAGAAACGTTGATCTCAGCCTCCTTGGTTTTGATCAATCCTTATATTATGCTTGTTCCGTGGTGCTCATTTCTGTGTGGCCCACTGCTGTTTACTTGTGATTTGTTTGAAAGTGGGTATATTTCATCTAAATACCTTTTCAGTATTTTAGTTGGAGAGCTGTCAAAGATATTAGCACTCTTAATAGATGGCAATATAGTATACAGAATGATTATATAGTCGACCCTTCATATTAGCAGGCTTGATTTTTGTGGATTTGATTATTCACAGATCTGATTAAAACATTACCTCTATTAATCTATCAGTCCTCCAAAACTATGGTCAGTGTCCATGATGGAGGACCTAGAGATACCTAGAGGTGGTTTTTCTCTTCTGAAAGGGTCCTATTTCCCTTACGCCAGTCAATGTAGAGGTCTGACTCTACAGATTTAGACAGATAACTGGAAATTCTCTGAGTTCCCACCATCAAACTTTATCTGGTCTTTTTCTTTCCACCCGCAGTGCCATAATGGAACACAAGGAGTTGTTAAAGGTTCCTTGGGATTGGCAAATAGGTAAGAGCTCAAACTATTTCATGAACAGCTATTATTGGATTATTGGATGAAATATTTGGGGTGAGTTTTAATACTGTTGGATGTGTAACGTCTTTGCATAACAAGACTGAATTATAACTTTTAATATTTATATTAAGATGTTTTTAATGCTTTGTTTTAATGTTTAAATGTTGTTTATGACTATAGTTGTGTAATGTTAAAGGAGGTCATGATTTGCACTAGGGATGGAAAGAGTCTTTGTAAATGTTGTTGTTCATTCGTTCAGTCATCTCCGACTCTTCGTGACCTCATGGACCAGCCCACGCCAGAGCTCCCTGTCGGCCGTCACCACCCCCAGCTCCTTCAAGGTCAGTCCAGTCACTTCAAGGATGCCATCCATCCATCTTGCCCTTGGTCGGCCCCTCTTCCTCTCTCTCACTTCCCCTCCCCCTTTTTCGGTCCTACCCCCTTTCCCTCTCACTTTCCCTGAGCGAATGACACAAGCTGATTGAAGTAGCAAGAAATGTCTAGCTAGAGTGAGTGTGTTTTTCCCCTTTCCCTTTTGCTTCCTTTCCCCACCTATCCCTACCCGTATTTCCCCCACCTTCACTCTCGCCTATGTGAGAGTTTCCTTTTTATATATTTCCCC